AATCCAGCTTAAACCTCTGGAAGTTCTCTGTCAATGTATACGTTCAGCTGTATAGGACTCCATATAGTGGGCACAAATCATTTCTGGGCTTGCTACCAACCACGGAAAACTAACTAGTTACAAGCATTGCAGAATTCATAAGGTAAAACCTAACCATTACTCTAGAGTCGCTTCTAACTCATAGCATCCGCATGTGTGTGAGAGTAGAACTGTCCTCCACAGGGTTTTCAGTGGCTAGTTTTTTGGAAGGAGATTTCCTGGGCCCTGCTCAGTGGACTTGAACCTCCGTCCTTTTAGTTAGCTGTCAGGTACTCCAAGGTGAAACCTGTTGTTGTTGTGAAGTTCCATCAAGTCGGTTCTAACCCATAGCAACCCTGTATAGAGTTTCCGAGAAACAGCTTGTGAGCTTGAACCACTGACCTTGCAGTTCAAATGGCTTTGCAGTCGGTGCATTAACCCACAGCGCCACACCAGGACTCACTATGCTTCCTTAAAGAGAAGCACACCTTTGCAGAGAATGAGAGTCGGTCACCTCAAACTGGAGTTAGAACTTCAAGCTTAGGAGCTCTTATTTCAGCCTTACCTACTGATAGCAGTCAGTAAACACCCACCCCCACCACTGCCACAGGGACACTTTCCCACATACAGACTTGCCATACTCCTACTACTGTTCAGTTCTCACTACGACAAAGTTAGATCACTTTCCACCAATCACATTTTTTTATTTGTATAATGATTTCTCACACTAAATTAATAAATACTTAACAAGGAGTGATGTTTTGACATTGCAGTTTCAAAGCAGTGGGCTTGAGACTCCAGACTTAGTCTCAGGGAACACATTCCATAAAGACATCTTTCTTCCTACTTTGGTGACTCGGGTCTTAAAAGCTTGAGAGTAGCCATCTAAGTTTCAACTGTTAGTCTCTTCCCATACAGAGCAAATGAAGAGCAAAAAAAATCAAAGATGCATGGAAACAGTCCAAGAAAAGAATTAGACTACCGGAACCACAGCTTCCACCAACATGAGACCAGAAGGAGTAGATGATGCCCAGCTACCGCCACCAATCCACTCTTACCACGATCACAGTACAATGTACTGAATAGAATGGGAGAAAAAGTAGAAAAAAATTCAAAATCATAGAGACTTATGGGTCCAATAGAGACTAAAGGAACCCCTGAGATTGGCCCTAAGCACCTTTCTGAGTTAGAACTGAAGCGACATCCAAAGAGGACCCTTCAACCAAACAATAGATAGGCCTATAAAGTGAGCAATAAGCCTGGAATAGCATGCTTCTCAGAACAATCAACTATATACGACTCAAAAGGCAGCATTTGCCCAGAAGCAAAGTTAGGAAGGCAGGAACCCAGGGCAGAAGTGTGGAGAATGAAGACATGTTGTGGGGATTGTAACCAATGCCACAGAACAACCTGTGTTAAATTGCTGAATGTGAAATTAACTTTCTCTGTAAAATTTCATCTAAACTAAACTAAAATATTTTTAACATAAATAAGTCAAAATAATTAAACTAAAATTAAAACTATACTCACCAAAACACTATCAGGCCTGGATGATCTTATTTTTCATTTCACCAAACATTCAAGAAACAGATCATCCACAGTTTCATACAAATGGTTTGAGAGAATAAAAAAGCCTCTCCAACTCATTCTACAGGGAAGCAGACCGTGGTACCAACTAGCGGACATGATAGGGGAAAGGGGAATTTTATATCACAGTAATTCATGAACAGATGGAAAAGTCATTAAAAAACTATTTGAAATGATTATTAGTGGCCCACTTGGACTTATTTTAAAAATGAAAAAAAAAAAACTATTAATAAAGTTATTATAATAAGACATTGTTGTTAAGTGCCGTCGAGTCAGTTCCGACCCATAGCGACCCTGTACAGGGTTTCAGAGGGTATAAATCCTTAAGGGAGTAGAAAGCTTCATCGTTCTCCCGCGGAGCGGCTGGTAGTTTCGAACCGCTGACCTTAAGGTTCACAGCCCGATTCGTAACCGCTACCAGAGCTCCTGGTAGCGTAGTAGTTACGAATCGGGCTGCGAACCGCAAGTTCAGCGGTTTGAAACTACCAGCCGCTCCGCGGGAGAAGAGGCTTTCTGCTCCCGTTAAGATTTACAGCCTCGGAAACCCTGTACAGGGTCGCTATGAGTCGGAACGGACTCCACGGCACATAACAACAACACAATAAGACATAAATTCTAGAAAAATTATTGTATATGGAATATATAGTGGTGGTTATGTGCCGCAGAGTCGGTTCTGACTCATAGCGACCCTGCACAAGGTTTACGAGGCTGTAAATCTTTTCGGGTGCAGAAAGCCTAATCTTTCTCCTGTGAAACAGCTGGTAGTTTCGAACTGCTGACCTTGCAGTTCATAGTCCATATATTCTATATATTTTATATAGAATATATGGAGAAATGATACTATAATAAGACAAATTCTAGAAAAATTATGATATTAATATAAGTAATATATTAACAGATTAAAAGAGATAAATGATCTTCTCAAAGATACAGTAAAAATATTTCATAAAATGAAAACTTGTTTATATCTTTTTAGGTACTCCTAGTAACCTAGGGGAAAAGACAGTTATTAAACCTACAACATGTTGTTGTTAAGTACCGTGGAGTCGGTTCCAACTCATAGTGACCCTGCACAAGGTTTCCAAGGCTGTGAATCTTTAGGGGAGCAGAAAGCCTCATCTTTCTCCTAAGGAACAGCTAGTAGTTTCGAACTGCTGACCTTGAGGTTAGGAGCCCAATTTGTAACCACTACGCTACCAGAGCTCCTTAAACCTACAACAAAGTCCATGTTAAATGTATCATGACAAGGTGTCCATAATACTAAATATTCTAGTTTACACAATTATCTTAAGATAAGAAATAGGAATATATTTGAAGATTGAGAATAATAGCCAAGTATAATTATTCACAAATGATGTAACTGTCTACACAGAAAATTCAAGAAAATAAAGAAGAAAACTTAACAAGTTTACTGAATTCACTAACAATAATTGAAAAATAATTGCATTTCTACTTATCAGGAAAAAAAATTTGAAGGTACATTTTTTAAAAGATCTCATTTAAGATCACAGCATAACCTATATAAAGTGCCTGAGTATAAATCTAATAAAAAATGTATGATATCCTGTTATAAAAATTATAGAACTTTATTGAAATACCTTACTGTTGTTAGTTGCCATGGAATTAATTCTGACTCATAGCAACCCCCTCATGTGTGTCAGAGCAGACTTGTGCGCCATAGGGTTTTCAAGGTTGTCCTCTTTCAGAAGTGGATCACCTAAGGTGTCAGAGACTTTGACTTCAAATTGCCAAACCATTGCCCCATAGGGTTTCCTATGTTGGAATCTGCATCGGGACAGATCACCAGATCTTTTCTCCCATGGAGCTGCTGGAGGATTTGAAACTTTCACCTAGCAGCAGAGCACTTAACCATTTGCACCACCCAGGGACTACTGATGAGAGTCTTGCAAATGTAGGTTGGTCTGGCACGTATATGCTTTACGATGGTGGTGATGGTGGGTTTTGTGTGCCATTAAGTCGGTTCCAACCCATAGTGACCCTTTATTGGGTTTTTGAGTCTATAAATCTTTATGGGAGCAGAAAGCCTCATCATTCTCCTGTGGAGATTTGAACTACTGACCTTTTGGTTAACAGCCCAGCTAGTAATCCATTATGCTACCAGGACTCCTTTATGTTCTTTATTGTTGTTGTTATGTGTCGTGGAGTCAGTTCCGACTCATAGTGACACTGTACAGGGTTTCTGAGGCTGTAAATCTTTACGGGAGCAGAAAGCGTCGTCTTTCTCCTGCAGAATAGCTGGTAGTTTCGAACTACTGACCCTGAGGTTCGCAGCCCAATTTGTAACCACTACGTGACCAGAGCTCCTTTATGTTCTGTATAGAGTGCTTCAAATGTTATCTAACTGGCCCTTACTTGTAGAGTGATTCTTCATTTTCATAAACACACTTATTATCCTGTCTATACCGATGTGTTTCAATGCTAATTACAGATAAATACAAAGTAGCCCGGGTGGCCCAGTGACAAGATGCTAGTCTGCTTACCAAAGAATCTGCAATGTGAGCACACCAGCTGCTCCGCAGGAGAAAGATGAGGCAGTTGGTTTCCATAAAGATTACAGAGTTGGAGACCCTATAGGGGGCAGTTCTACTGTATCCTATGGGATCACTATGCATTGGGATCCCCTCAACAGCAGTGGGTACAGATGATGTGACCACTGTTTTCAATTTTAAAATAAAATCCTCACTATTCCAGGCTAATGTGTGATCGTTGTTCTAATATATGAAAAATGTTCTTTGCAAACAGAAAAAACATCGTTGACCCAGAAGATCCCAGATGTGCCCGGTTAATGCTCACTGGCCAAATGACTGCAGTGTCTCCTGAAGAAGTAGAATTTGCCAAGCAAGCCATGTTTTCAAGGTTCGTGTATGCTTGACAGTTCATGTGCCCAGAAATACACAGTCGTTAAGAGCAGAGAGAGGTCTGGGCTGTGGGTTTTGTAGTGTAGTGGTTACGAATCGGGCTGTGAACCTTAAGGTCAGCGGTTCGAAACTACCAGCCACTCCGCGGGAGAAAGATGAGGCTTTCTACTCCTGTAAAGATTTACACCCTTGGGAACCCTGTACAGGGTCGCTATGGGTCGGACCCGACTCGACGGCACTTAACAACAACAACAACAACAGTGCAATGACAGTACTTGTACTTCTTTCTGTGGCTAAGTGCTGCAGCCATACACTGGCTGGGATTGTGTCTAGCAAAGGCCAGACACATGGCCTTGCATGGGGCTGACACTGCCCCACAGAGAGATGTTCCAGACACCATTTCCTACATGCTGCTAAACCTTGTCAGGGCCCTACCATCAAATAAAAATAACCAAGAGTCAACACAATTTCAAATCCCTACTACAAGCACAGTACCAGAAGTTACACTGTTATTGTTAGCTGCCGTCCAGCCAGGCCCTGCTTCATGGGAACCTCATGTATAAGAGACTAGAACTGCGCCCTAGGGTTTTCTTGGCTGTACTTTAACAGAAGCAGACTTTTCTTCCATGGAGCAGCTGGGAGGGTTTAAATCACGGAACTTTCGGTTAGAAGCATGCACCATTCAGACTCACAGCAAGTTACAGAGCGGTGATCCCCATACAGAATCATCACTTAGAATGTTTATATGAGGGGTCCATTGTAGCGAATTGTTTCATTTGTGACTCCCACCAAACGAATCTTTTTCTGATGGGTTTAGACTAAGAGAAGGTGGGAGAAGATACTGATAAGATAACATGATTCAGCTGTGGATGCTAGCAGACTTCACTGTAATTGTAAAAACTTAAAACTCTAGCATGGCTCTAAAATGAGGCATCTCAGAAGCAGGAAGTGGGGGATCTCACTATCAACAAAGAAGAAGAGCCAGGAGTGGAGAGTGTCATTTGGACCCCAAACTCCCTGCTCATCAAGCCTCCTCGACCCAGGGACAGAAAGTTGTGACACCAGAGGAGAGATAAAGGAGCAGCAGCAACAGTATTACAAATGAGAGCGTGAGACAGACTGGTGAACTTCCCAGCCCACGGAGCAAGTAAAGTGTAGCCACTTTGGGCAGGAGACTTGCTTGCAGAGAAGGGAGCCTCCAGGCACGTAATTGGGGGAGCTGGATTTACTGACCCGAGGAGCTAGAGCCCAGTTCCTTCAGACTGAGGCTTAGGGTGGAGTGGTGTGTCCTGTGGGCATTTATCAGCAGCTCTAAGAGAGCTTTGTTACAATTCCCCTGGCAGAGACAGGCATGCCTACAGGCATGGCCAAGAAGGAGCTATACCGACTGAAAAAAGTGTGCCCTGAGCATTTGCTGGTCCTAACTTGTAACCTGCTAACTTCTCTAATAAAACCCCTGACTGTAAGTACGGCATCTGAGTTCTGTGTGGCCACTGCAATGAGTTATTGTTGTTGTTCAGTGCCGTTGAGTTGGTGCTGACCCATAGCGACCCTGTACAGGGTTTCTGAGGCTGTAAATCTTTATGAGTGCAGAAAGCCTCATCTTTATCCTGCAGAGCGGTTGGTAGGTTCAAACTGCTAACCTTAAGGATCACAGCCCGATTCGTAACCACTACGCTACCGGAGCTCCTTTTTTGTTTTTGTTATGTGCCGTGGAGTCGGTTCCGACTCTACCGGAACTCCGGAGCTCCTTAGAACCCAGAAAAGAAGTAAAAAGTGAGGGGGGGGGCAAAGGGGGGGAAGGAATGACTGGTACCACACCGTGTTTTGTAAAGGGACTTCAAAAAAGTTCATGTGAAAATGGAATTGAAAGATAATGGGATTTTTCCATGGACTTTTTGAAGACCCTTCAATGCACAGATCCCCTGTTTTTCCAAAGTTTGCTTTACATTACTTCACTTTTACTAACGACCTGCGCTGATACCTGTTTTCACGAACCAAAAAAAAATCTGAACAGGATTTTCACTTTTACGAAAAAAGGGGAACAGTGAAGCTAGTGTTCAACATTTATTTTTCAGGGAACATTTAAAGAGGCAGCACATGCCCCGAGCATCAGGAGTGGTGCCTCCAAGTTCTTTCCCTGGGAACTACAATACATACTTGAGTTAGGAAGGAGCCCTGGTGGAGCCCTAGCGTGGCACTGTAGGATAATGCACTGGACTGCGTACCACAAGGTCTGCGGTTGGAGCCTTCCAGCTGCTCCACGGAAGAAAGATAAGGCTTTCTGCTCTCATAAAGATTTACAGCCTCAGAAGCCCTAGACAGGGTCGATATGACTCAGTGGCACACCACCACCACCACCAGTGTTGTTTTAGGTTTGACTTGGTTTTTGGTATAATTTAGTAGGTTTTTTGTGTCTGGGAATGCTAAAAAAAAAAAAAATTTCCCTTATAAATTAATGGTATCTGCTTCTTCACTTTATGGCATATTAGCTTACAAAAGGTTTCATAGGAATGCTTTACTTGGGATAGGTGGGAAAACATATAAAAGTAGTTTTCTATCGCCACCTCCACCCTTTGATCTACTTACTGAATCTGATTCTCTGCAGATAAGGTCCAATCTAAATTTTTTAAAAGCACATGGCAGGAAATTGTGACGCATTGTAAAGTTTGAGAACCACCGCTGTGGAGTGGGAAGGCAGCCCAGGTAGGAAGCCAGAGCCAGGCCAGGGGATAAGGGCAGTCATGTGGGGGTCGGGGGGGACAACCCAGCACAGATGTCAAAGCTAGAGTAAGGTGAGTGGTCATCTCCACTGAGGGGATGGCCTGTCAAAGGTGTTGAGAGGATAAGCCAGGTAATGACAGTGTCCATGAGGGACAACTGTATTGGAAAGTCAGAGCTGGACAAGGAGTGGAGTCGTCCACCCAGGAGTGTGGGCCATGAAAGCAGGTAGCATGGCAGTTTTCTAAATTAGTGGAAGAGTGCACAGAGGCAGATGCTAGTTGGATGAGCTGTCCACAGCCCACGCAAATGGGAACAATCAAATAGTAAAAGTAATGAGGATAATGGAAACCAAGTTTCTCACTACCGCGGAAAAGAGTTAAAAGATACTACGGAGAAAACTAGAGTGAACTCTGTGGAGTTGGAATGAACACGGATGTATCAATGTGTGCTCATGGCTTTCGGTACAGAGATGAAGAAGTAACACATGGGTGTGTGTGTGTGTGTGTGTGTTTTGCTCTCAAACAGCAAGTTACTCTTTAGTTCTCCTCTCTCACTTTATGATAAACAAAGAGAAAAAGACAGCTGGCTAACATATTTCCAAGTCATCTGAAAAGCTTAAAACTACTGAGTTCATTAGGTTGTTGTTGTTGTTACATGCCGTGGAGTCGGTTCCAACTCATAGTGACCCTGTACAGGGTTTCCAAGGCTGTAAATCTTTACGGGAGTAGAAAGCTTCATCTTTCTCCTGTGGTAGTTTCAAACTGCTGACCTTGCAGTTCACAGCCCGATTCATAACCACTATGCTACCAGAGCTCCTTAGTTCATTAGGTACATTTCCTATTTTCCACATTACAGCAGACAGCAGCAGTGTTGCCCAATTTCCCACCGCTACATACCACGAAGGAGCTCTGGTAGCATAGTGGGTTATGAGTTGGACTGTTTATTGCAAGGTCAGCAGTTCAAATCTACCAGGCACCTCGAGGGAGAAAAATGAGGCTTTCTGTCCCCGTAAAGCTATACAGCCTCGGAGACACTATAGAGGGTCGCTGTGAATCAGAACCAACTCCATGGCACACCACCACCACCATGGCAGCACTCTACTTACTGGTACCAAAATCTGTCCCAGTTATGATTACAAAACAAAGTGACTTAACACCTTAACATGGGCAACAAGGCAGGCAATATACAACAAGAGGGAGGTTGGCAGAGGAAAGATGAAGGTAGCCAGAGAACAGGGAGGAATGCAAGAGTTAAAGTGAATAGAAGTAAATTCTGTTAACTGATGATACATGGAGGGGATTGCGAGCAAGTAATGAAGCAAAGTATATGATTTGTTCAATGTAACATTGATGATCTGCTCTGTAAACCTTCACTCAATTCACAATAAAAACTTGTTGGCTTTTTTAAAAAAAAAAAAAAAAAAAGCTAAGTGACTTAAAATAACAATTGTTATCTTAGCTAGCATATTGTTAGCAATTGTTATCTTGAGGGTGATAAGGCATCCAATCAGCATCAAATAGTTGGGGGGGGGGGGAAATGTTCTTTCTCCTGTACTTTCAACTTCTTTGGAAGTTTATGATTCTTCCACCAAAAAAAATTTTTTTTAAATATGCAACACTGACTTGTTATTTCACTATTGTAAATATTTTTCCCAGTTTGCAGTTGATCTTTGAATTTTGTTGGTAATGCATATATAGATACATACATACATACATACATATGTATCTAGATAGATAGATATCTATGTATATAAATACAAACATATATATATAAAGGAATATTCTCATTTTTAAGAAGTTACAAACAAAAGTGAGCCAAAGCTTGTTGCTAGGTATCATCTCTTTGTGTGTTTGTTTAAGCTTTCACAGTTTTTATTAAATCCTAGACTAATTTGACGATATCTCAGTTTATAGACATCATCCCATGGTGTGAACGTGTTTAATAAGTGAAAAGAAATCACATCCACAGCCTTATTTCCCGCAGATCAAAAATAACATAACACCTACACAGAACACTTACAATGACATGCACTTACTCAGAGTTTTCATACAAGCCATGTTGGTTATCACATACATCTCCTAATACTTAATATAGTAGAATTATTTATTGAAGTTCCCACATAGTATTTTCATTACAAGTGTCTTACTGAGATTACTAACATTTTTGATAGTTTCACTGACATTTGTAAACTACCATTAATATTTTCAAGAGTAAAAGCTGAATATGAAAAGTTAAATTAATAAATGAAAATGACATTACAAAAAAAGAGTGTTGGGGGCGGATATTGTTGGGGTAGAAAAGTCAAACAAATCTAGACATTTGAGTTGGAAGAGAACAGATGAACTGAAGATTTCCCAAATCAAGAGTTTAATGATTTAACACAACACAAATCCTTCTTCACATAGAAGTTGAAACTAAAAGATCTACAAACTCTGGCTGTAGGTCTTAAACAGTACCAACTCTTCTGATCAAAAAGGCATAACAGTTAAGATTGTATTATTTGTCTTTATTTTACAATACTAGGTGGTGAACACAAGCAATCCTCCTTAGTAAAGTGACTAGGTTCACTCAGAACATTTTTAATAATGCACATTAAAAAAAAATTTCATCTTACAAATCGTTCTGCAATACAAATATACAATAAAAGCCAGTGTTAAAAAGCTGAAATGACTAGAACAATGCAGGTTTGATACGGCCCTGAATTTACAGTTTTCTTACTGCATCATCAATGTCAGAAATCTGTTTCTCCAGGTAGCTCTGGTGCTCAGGATTTCAAGAAACACCTTTTCTTCCTGATTTTATTTCACCTTCCAGATCCATCCAATAGTCTCTAATATCAATTAGAACTTTCCCTAACTAGCCCTGAACACTGATATTCCTCATGTTCCCAATCCAAAACATTATCATCTCTGCTGTTGCTCTGCTTAGAGGACAATAAGACTCGTGAAGTTTCACCAGTGTTTTGCTACTTCACAGGTTTTCTGGAGAAACTTGCTTTTTCCTCTTTAACTTTTTGTCGACTTCACTATCAGAATCACTACCAGGTGAACTTGAAGAAACAAGTCCCTTTGATTTAGGCATTTGCTTGGATCCTACAACCCAACAGCCTCCTGCGCACTCGCTCACAACTTGGTACAGCTTTCTTTGGAGTAGGCATACATACAGATGTCTTTCAATCAGTTGGCCAGATTTCTTGAAATAGATGAGTGAGTGTCTCCAGTGCTGCATCAGTTTGTTGAAATCGAAAGATTTCAATTTGTATCCATTATTTCCTGGAGCCTTGTTCTTTGCCAATGCCTTCAGAGCTCGTTGGACTTCTTCCTTCACCACCATTGACTCTTGCTCATATGCTACCTCTTTAAGCGGTTGAACATCGATCATTTCTTTTTGGTATAGTGACACTGTATCTACCTTCTATCTTCTTATGAAGTTTTCTACATCATTCAATATTTTGCCAACGTAATCCTTCATTATTTCAAGTCAAGGCTTGAATTTTTTTTTTTTCTTCAGTTCTTTCAGTTTGAGAAATGCTAAGGTATTTTTTTGGTTTTCTAACTCCAGATCTTTGCAAATTTCATTATAATACTTGACTTTGTCTTCTCAAGCTTCCCTTTGAAATTTTCCATTCAGCTTTTTTCACCTCCTCATCACTTCAGTTTGCTTTAGCATCTCTACACTGGAAAGCAAGTTTCAGAGTCTCTTCTGACATCCATTTTTATCTTTTCTTTCTTTCTTTTCTTCTTAATGATCTTTTGCTTTCTTCCTGTACGATGTTCTTGATATCAATCTACAATTCTTCTTGTTTTCAGTCATTAGTGTCTAACGCATCACATCTGTTCTTGAGATTGCTAAAAATTCAGATGGGATATGCTCAAGGTCATATTTTGGATCTCTTGGATTTGTTTTAATTTTCTTCAGCCTGAACTTGCAAATGAGCAATTGATATGTGTTCCACAGTATGCCTCTGGCCTTGTTTTGGGTGATGATATTGAGCTTTTCTACCATCTCTTTCTACAGATGTAGTCAATTTGATTTCTGTGTATTCCTTCTGGTGAGGTTCATGTGTCTTTTATGTTGTTTTGAACGGTATTTGTAATGAAGAAGTCATTGTCTTGCAAAATACTACCATGTGATCTCCAGCATTGTTTCTATCACCAAGGCCATATTTTCCAACTACTGATCCTTCCTCTTCATTTTTAACCTTTGCATTCGAAACACCAGTAATGATCAATACATCTTGATTGCATTTTTGATCCATTTCAGACTGAAGAAGCCAGTAGAAATTCTTCAATTTCATCATCACTGGCTTTAGTGGTTGGTGTGTAAATTTGAATCACAGTGGTATTAACTGGTCTTCCTGGTAGTTGTATGGAGATTATACTATCACAGACAGTACTTTACTTTAAGACAGACCTTGAAATGTTCTTGATGATGAATGCAATGTCATTCCTCTTCAATTTGTCATTCCCAGCATAGTAAACCATGTGATTGTGAGATTCAAAATGCCCAATACCAGTCCATTTCAGCTCACTAATGCATAGGATATCGATCTTTGTGCATTCCATTTCATTTCTGACAACTTCCAATTTTCCTAGATTCATACTCTGTACATCCCATGTTCTGATTATTAATGGATATTTACAGCTGTTTCTCCTCATTTTGAGTTGTGCCTATCAACAAATGAAGTTCTAAAAGTTTTACTCCCTCTGGTCATCATGGTCAACTCTACTTTGAGGAGGCAGCTCTTCGCCAGTCATATTTTCATTGTCTTTTAACCTGAGGGGCTTATCTTCTGGCACTATGTCTGACACTATTCTGGTGCTCTTCATCATGTTTCAATATTCAATATTCTGGTGCTATCTAACAGTGTTCCAGTGCTATTCATAAGGTTTTCAGTGGCTAAACATTCAGAAGAAGTTTGCTTCTCCTTCTTTTAGTCTTTCTTAATCTGGAAGCTCAGCTGAAACCTATCCACCATGGATGACCCAGCTGGTGTTTAAAATATCTGTGGCAATTGACTAATACAAGAATAAGCAAGTTATTCCCCAGGGAGCCCTCAAGGCAAGTGTTCAGGTTCCCTCAAGGCAAACCCCCTTCCAAGACTGAAACTCAAATGGAATACGCGAGCAGGCATATGGTCCTGCTACTGACCATGTTGGTCACCGATAAGGGGAATTTGGGGAAAAACAGCAATGAAGTTGTGAACTAAGTCCGACCACTTTCAATAGACTCCTGTCAACCTGGATTGAGACCTGGTTAGCCAGCAGTATGACAAGACCTGGGAACTCTGGGCCCAGGGACAGGGACATGGCCTAGCAGAGTATGAAGCATCCAGCTGATATGAAGTGAGGGGAGATGCACAGGGACACCCACACTCACAGATAGTATCCATTTGACCTGGCATCAATGGCTGGATGATCACAACATAACTAGAGGAAGAAAGAGGAGGGGAAAATAAAAGGAGTAACCCACTACAAGTGGATGAACTCGACTTATGCTAGTGGGTGCAGTATGACAAAGGAGCAGACAAATCTCTATATTGAGGATCATTCCCATCCCCTTGGTACACAGGGTCGACAGGGATGGGGAACTTAGACATTGGCTACCCAAAATGGGGGAATACAAAGGCAAGAAATTACCGGTTTACAAGCTTTTAATAGGGAACCTGGTTCCAGAGGGTACAGGGAAAGGTAGAACCTCCACTGAATTGCTTCCAACCAGTCTGGATAGGGTTGATAAAAGGTGAAGGGGAAAGGACTCCTGTGGTTCAATAGGGAATGATTGTTATCAGGTCTGACAGTGAGTGTTGGAAAGGTACATGTAAATTTTTGTAACAAAAGGAGGGGAGTGGCTGATTTTCCAGTCCTGGAGCCAAGATCCCTGGAACCATCAAGGGAGAAAAGTGAAGTGCAGGACCGTGTCCGGAGAGGCAGTAACCCTAGGGATGGAGGCAGAGACGATGATGTGGGCAGAAGAAGCGGCTGGGGACTCTGGACTCAGGGAGGGAGAGGGGCTGTGTGCTGGTGGCTAGGGGCAGGTGTGTGGGGTGTACCCTTTGGGTGTTTGATGATGCATGCAGGGGATTGTGATCATTGCAATGAAACAAAATATAATAGGATGAATGTAAAGATAATATTCACCCATGTAAACTAACACATAATTCACAATAAAATATATGTATATATCATATATCTGTGGCATAACTTCCAGCACCACAGCAACTCACAAGCCACCACTGTGCAACAAACTGGCAGATGAGTGGTGGCCCAACCCATAGACATCCTATGATTTTCCCAGGCTGTAAATCCTTACAGGAGTCCTGGTGTGGTGCTGTGGGTTAATACGCCAGACTGCAAAGCCCTGTGAACTGTGAGGTTGGTGGTTCAAGCTCACCAGCTGCTTCTCGGAAACCCTACACAGGGTCACTATGGGTTGGAACCAACTCAATGGCATTTAACAATAACAACAACAAATCTTTACAGGATCAGAAAGCCTCATTTTTTTTCTTCAGCAGAGAGGCTGGTGAGTTTGAATTGTCGGCCTTGCATTTAGTAGTCCAGTGCTTATCCTATAGTACCAGGGCTCCTTAGGGACACCAGAGACAACAAAAGTCAACTCTTACTGAGCACTTATTTATGCAGTGGCTTATATGTGTTTACTCCCATTCTCCCTGTCCAGTCCTCTGATCTGCATACCAACAGTATGATTCCACAAACAGATAGGGAGACTGAAGTTCAACAAAGCAAACAAAACAGCTCATCAACAGTGGAACTGGGATTTGAGCCAAGAAGTATGGCTCAGGTTTTAAGCAGTTAGCCAGTAGGTATAGGTACTACCATTTCCTGCCTTCCTAAGACTCTCCCAGGTTCCAATACCCAGCTTTACAAAACTATTTTATTGTTGGTATTCATCTATTCTAAGAAATACTACATTTACGCAGTTTATAACGATCTTACGTATTATCCTATGATGAAAATTGATAATAAATATTACTAAGGAAACTGTATGCTCTGGTACAGGAGGAAGTCCATGGGGTGTTGGGGTGACACCATGAGTCACCATACTGGGCCACACCAACCCCAGGGATACCACTGAAGAGTTTAGTGTAATCTCGCCTTTCTTCCTGCAGGCACCCAGTACTGAGGAAGTGGCCTCGTCAATATGAATGGTTCTTTATGAAGATGCGGATAGAACATATCTGGCTTCAGAAATGGTATGGAGGATTATCTGAGATTTCAAGGGAGGAATATTTCAAAGCAGTTCCAAGAAAGGTCTGATGAATTAAGAAAAAAATTCTGTGGTGTTGACTTTAACATGAAACCCTTTTAAGTGATGTGGCCAGACAGCTGTTGCTTCCTGCTGTCTATTTGTTGAAGGGGTTCATTGCAGCCCTGTCACCCTGACTGCAGAACAAAAGAAGATGAATGGAGGGCCCGATTCTAGACCTGAAATTAAAGCGGTCGTTTGCAAACCCTGAGGAATCCACAGAGGTTTGGCACCTATATAGCCTTTGTTTATGTTGTATTCATTCCAGACTCACTCACTTGAGAATCATTGTTGGTTGTCAAAATGACATGTTGAAACAGTTGCTGTTCCCTTCTTTAGAAAAACAAATTGTGCCTGTAAATACAATATGATTACTTTATATCATGATAGTATTGTTGCTTGCTGTGCCAAAATGCACATCTGGGTTCACACAACCACATACAAAAGTAAATCTAAATATGCATCATGCAACCACAAAACTGTGTTTAGGGGCAGGGTGGAGGACTATTTGTCTATGGATTGCTCATTGTGCTGCTGGATTGCAAAGGCAAAAGTCATTATTTAGGCACACATGCTAGAATGTATAGATGACTGATGAAGCTTTTTCCCCCACTGTAAACCGAAGACTCCCTATAGGCATGCAGCTCACGCCTGGCCATGCTGAGGAACCTCCAGGAGAGGAGAGCAGGTAAACCTGGGAAGGGGATAAATGTGTCACAGAGGGAAGGACGGCCTGTTCCTTGTCCAGGCGCTTCACACAAGTCATTTCAGCCCAACAGCCAATGAGACACATGTCATCACTGCCACTTACACACAAGCAAGGAAACAGAGACTCTGAGACCCCAGAACTGGCTGCACATAATAGAGAGAGCTGTACCTAAACGCTCTCAAGTTTTCAGGACAAGGCAAAAGTAAATGAGCAGGTAGTCAATGAACTGGAAAACTCAGTAAAGCGGTTATAGAGGAGAATGATTTGCCTACCTGGACAAAAAAACAATAGGCTCAAGTTTGAGTCTTATTACAGATTTAATATTTTCTACAAATTATATGCAGGAGTTTTGGTATTTGTTTTAAGAAACTAGACTATAGTTGTATACACATTTAAGGCCTACATGAACCTCTGTGTATACATTCAAGACCTCATAATTGAAGTCCACAAGGTATCTAGCAGTACCCAAGTCTTCTGTCTTCCTGGAATGGCTAGACACAGATTCAGTTTGTTAATGAACATAAAAACACATGATCATATAGGGAAAAAGATACATTTTTGAATACATGAAGTGTTATTAATGGTTACATTTTTGTTGTTAAAAAAATGAGACAAAAAGAAGGTTTGAGTTGTCTAAGCATATTTTTAAGTGCCTGTTACTAAAAGAAAACGCAGGAAGATGCATGGAATTTTTTTTTTTTACCATAAGCCAATGCTCTGGGGAGTACCTAACGTTGGCAATTTCTAACACAGAAGAGTGGGGTAATGTTGAGGTTATTTCATATATTTAGAGTTTGAAATTATTGCTACCTCCATTTTAAAACTAAGAGGGAGAAACTGGAAGAACAAACTACATGCTCAAAAATAGTCTCCAAGTCAACCTCAAACTTTAGTTTACAGTAATTGAGAGAGTATGGCATTGGCAGAGGCATACATGGGGATCAATAGAACAGAATAGAAAACCCACAAATAGACCCACACAAGTAAGATCATTTCAGAACGTTTCAAAAGCAGTTTGATGGAGGAGGAAGGACTGTCTTTTCAATACATGGTGCTATGCAAGTACATACACATCCAGAGGCAAAAAATAAAAATACAGAATTTAACTCTGTATAAAGTCATAGAGCTAAATTTAAAATGTGAAACTATACAACTTTTCGGAGAAAAAAATGTAGAAAATCTTTCTGACTCGGACTAAGCAGAGTTCTTAGACGTGATGCCAAAAGCACAATCCATGAAAAGAAATTGTGATAAAACAGCATCAAAGTGTTTTGTTCTGCAATAAACGCTGTTCAGAGGCAGAAATGAAAGGCTACAAACTGGGAGACAATATATGCAAACTACTTATCTGACCAAGACTACTATCTAGGATATATGTTGTTGTTGTTGTGGAGTACCATGGAGCAGTTCCAACTCATAGCGACCCTGTATATTTTCCAAGGAGCGACTGGTGGGTTTGAACCACCAACCTAATGGTTAGCAGTCTAGTGCTTATCCTACAGTGAATATATTGTTGTTAAGTGCCATCGAGTTCGTTCCAATTCATAGCGACACTGTATAGAGTTTCCAAGGATCTGCTGGTGGGTTTGAACTGCTGACCTTATGGTTCACAGTCCAGTCGCTGATCCTACAGCACCACATCCGGAGTCCCAGCTTATATATAAAGAACTCTAAAAACTCAACTGCTTAAAAAAAAAAAAAAAAAAGACAATCCAATCAGGAAATGAAGACTACTGCACTAAAGAGAATAAACAGTAGGCAAATAAACATGTAAAAAGATATCAGCTTTAAAGAAATGCAAATTAAAACCACAGTGAGAGATCACTACACATCTACCAAACTTGCTAAAATAAAAAAGAATGACATCACCAAATGTTAACAAGAATGCTGAGAAACTGGACCATTCAGGTATTATGGACAGGAATGTAAAATAGAACAACCACTCTGGAAAAAGAAATTGGAAGTTTCTTATAAAAGTGACTAACCAGGCAACGGCCATACAACACAACAATTACACACATGGGCATTTATTTATTCCAGAGAAATGAGAACTTGTATTCACACACACACACAAACTATACATGAATGTTCGGAACAGCTTTATTCATAATAGTCAGAAACTAAAAACAACCCAGAAGTCCTTTAATGGGTGAATGATAAAACCATGTGGTCCATTCACACTGTGGAATACTACTCAGCAATGAAAAGGAATGATACAACAACTTGGATGAACCTCAGAGGAATGATGCTAAGTGAGAAAAGCCAATCCAGAAAGATTACACACTGTATGATTCCCTTTCTAGAATGTTTCTTGAAAATGCCAAAATAATAGGAATGGAGAAGACATTTGTGGTTGCCAGGGGAGTTGGGGGAAGAGGAAGAGAGGGGGTCAGGTGGCTATAAAAGGTCAGTAGAAAAGACCCCTGTGGTGCTGGCATTATTTTATATCTTCTCTATCAGCATCAATGTCCTACTTGTGCTATTTTAGTATAACTTAGAGCATGTTACAACTAGATAAAGGGAACACAACTTCTCTACTGCTTACAACTGCATGCAAATCAACAATTCTCTCAAAATAAAACACGCACCTTTTTTTTTTTTTAAACTTAAGGCTTAGCTTAAATAGGGGCTATGTGCTCCTTCTCTTATTGGCCCCTAGTAAAATGAGGAACTGAGTTATGTGCCAAAACCTAGGAGAAAAGAAGATGAGACAGTATTAATTCTCTTTTGTTAACCATTAATATTTGCATTTCAGGAAAATATAGAACACTTTCCTTTAAAAGTTTTCTAGAAATAATCACTTAAATGTTGAATACAAATTAATAAGAATTCAACAGATGTGCTGTATAGATTCTACATAGACCACTTAGATGGGGAGAGTATCTTTCAGGTTTTGACATAAACGTATTGAGAAAGCTGTGTATGTATACAGGTATCTGAGACTATACAGAATCATTCTTCATGGATGTTTATAGTAATAATTCATTTTTGTGTTTGCATATGTGAATAGGCTAATTAAAATATATTCTGACCCAATGCTTTTATTTACAGTGGTTGTACATATAAACTTGACATATATCGAGTAATTCTGATGTTTCTTTCAATATACCTGACTCCTTATAAAAGAACTGTCTTTTAGTTGAAATGTATTGCTATAAAACTTCCAGAATGTCTGTTTCATTTTTAATAAGTTAACTATCAAGTACTGTTCTGAAAATAAAACCTCTCTAGGATAATTTTATGCTCATTTGATTGCTTTAATAGCAAGCCGCTTATTATAAAATTTGAATTATAATGAAGCTATGGTTTGTGCTCTATTATGCATGTGTGGTGTCAAGTCTGTTTTCAGAATTAGATATGTATGTTTAACCAAAGACTGCTTCATTGCTGATATGTTTCCCATGCTCAGTTAAATAAAATTATAATACTTGCATGTAGTCCTTTTTTGTAATATTATAAATGGTCATTATTAGATTTCCAAGAAAATACATATATTCTAATGAATCAGCAGTTAAATTTCAAATAGGAAGAGAAGAATACGTTTGGTAACTTTTGTTGATATGTTGTTGTTTTTTTAAAGATATGTTGTGGTTGTTGTTAATGAGTCCTAGTGGCGCTGTGGGTTAGGTGTTGAACTGCTGGTCACAAGGTTGGTGGTTCAAACCACCCAGACTTTTAAGGAGAAAGCTGAGACTGCTGTTCCCATAAAGATTTATAATTGCAGAGACCCTAGGGATCAGTTCTACTCAGGCTTAAAAGGTCACCATGATTTGGGATTAACTCAATGACAATGCGTTTGGTTTGATTTGGGGTGGTGGTTACTAATTGCCGTTGAGTGGACTCCCAGTCTTGAAGACCCCATGCGCAACAGAACAGGCACTGGCCAGTACTTCACATCCATGGTGGGTTATACATCGGACCATTGCGGTCCGTAGGGTTTCCATGAGCTGATTTTCAGAAGTAGATCTCCAAGCCTTTCTTCTTGTTGTTGTGATTGTCAGGTACCATCGGGTAGGTTCTGACTCATAACAAATGACTCTATGCACAACAAAACAAAACACTTCTAGGTTCGTAGTTTGTCTTAATCTTGACCAGCCTCTGAAACCTGTTTAGCAGGGTATCAACACATAAGCAATCAATGACAGCAAAGTGGTGACTGCATACGAAGACATGAGGGGACACCAAAAAGTTCATGGGAAAATGAAAATATGGGGCAAGATGACAGAGTAAACACATGCACTGAGCTGATCCTCTACAACAAAGACATGGGAGACCAAGTGAAACAGAGCCAGGTGG